TGGGGCTCTGGGGCGTGGAGACACGCAGGGGGACTTCTAGTCTTGCTTGGGCCACAGGCAAATGGCTTGGCCACCTCTTTGAGACCCCGGGAAGCCTTGGACAGTTCTGGAGCAGGAGACCTGGAAGAGGGGCCCTCTTGGAGGGGGTGCTCTGGGGAAGCCCCTGAAGGCTGCGGGTCACCAGTCCTGCTTGGAGCGGCGAGGAGCTGGCGGCCTCCCTCTGCAGGCTGCGACTGAGTCACCAGGCTGCCGGAGGAACATTCGGCGCCCAGAGGCCCCGCGTGGGCTGTCACGCAAAGGAACGCGGCCCCCGGAGCCCCTCCAAGCCGCCTTCCCCACTCTCTGTTCCCACAGCTGCTCTGCAGAAGGATCGTGGGAGGTGGGGGGCAGCGAGAGCCGAGGCAAGGCCAGCAGCCCCGGGTTCCCAGCAGGTGCAGCCTCTGTGAATCCGGGGGTCTCTGCCCAGGATGGGGAAACTGCGCTCTGGGAAAGGCAGGTCTGTTCCCATTCTCTGCATGCAGGGTTGGAATCCTGCCTCGCTGCAGTGTGCTAGTCACAGCTCCCTTTCTCTGGCTCCAAAGGCTCCCATGGCTCCCTGGGATCCGCAGAACAAAGCCGCTCGTCTCCACCTCCTCATGGCCCCAGAGGCCTTGCTCAGCTCCAGCAACTTTGCATCAGGGTTCACCCCCACCTCGCGGTTCTCTGGCCACCCCAGCGTCCACGTTGTTCCTCTAGAAAAACCAGTTCACCCGGACCTCAGGGACTTGGCACGTGCTGTGTCCCCTTCTGCTCTTATTCTGTCTCTCAAAGTGACAAATTTAGAACTCATGGGTGGCCATGCAGTGAGCCACCTAGGAGTCAGGATTCGAACCCAGGTCCATCTGAGACTTTCCCCTTTCCAAAGTGCCCTGCGAGGCGATGTCACAGTTTAAGTTTGCTTTAATTATTTTCTTTTCATTTATTTGTTTTCTCGAGACAGGGTCTCCCTGTGTAGCGCAGACTGGCCCTGAATTCACAGCAATCCCCCTGCCTCAGCTTCAGGAGTGCTAGGATGAGGGGCATGAACAAAGTCACATTTGAAGTTCCCGTTCAGGTTCACCGCTCAATGAAGCTGATTGTCCCCTAAACTCTGAGGTTGCATTGCCTAGGTGCCAAAGACCCACCCCTCCCCAACCCCTCCCCTTCCTACTCTGGTACATCCCCAGAGTCTCTCCCAGTGTGGCCGAAATTTCTCTGGCCCACTTTCTGCCCTTCACGGGCGTGGATGTCAGAGCCTGCAAGGATGTATTAGCCAAAAATAATCCTGCGACCTACCTCCTGAAAATGGGCCGGCCCCACCCGTCCACCTGGCACCCGGGAGGCAATTAGCTCACGTGGTAAATGAGGGTAATTAGATCTGTGGGAACCACTGCCGTCAGGATCCCAGAACCATCTCCTCCAGCCCTGCTGCACAGCAGGGCCGCCTGCTGCTCGGCCTGAGCTCTCCCGCTCCACCTTCCCCTGCTACTGGGCCACACAGGCTGTGGGAGTCAAGCTCTGGCTATCCTGGAACTCTGTAGACCAGGCTGGCCTCAAACTCACAGAGATCCACCTGCCTCTGCCTCCCAAGTGCTGGGATTAAAGGTGTGCACCATTGCCTCTCAGATAAGAAAAAATTTTTAATTTAAAACTTTAATTATGGGGGGCTGGAGAGATGGCTCAGAGGTTAAGAGCACTGGCTGCTCTTCCAGAGGTCCTGAGTTCAATTCCCAGCAACCACATGGTGGCTCACAGCCATCTACACTTCAATCTGGTGCCCTCTTCTGGCATGTAGGCAGGACACTGTATATGTGATAAATAAATAAATCTTTTTTAAAAATTTAATTATGGCCGGGTGTTGGTAGCTCACGCCTTTAATCTCAGCACTCAGGAGGCAGAAGCAGGCGGATCTCCATTCATGGCCAGCCTGATCTACAGAGCGAGTCTGGGGGCAGGGGACCTGGAAAGGGGTCTGTGTGCCTTGTTGGGCTTGTTCTAGGTGCTGGGACAAAGCCTTGTAAGAGGGAATAGTGACCAACCACACATTAAATGGCTTTAAGGTCTCCAAAGCCTGTGTTGCAGGCTGGACAGGAGCTCGGGAGACAGGGACTGAACCTCCAGAGACACTTTGGTTCTAGTCCAGCAGCTGGGTTAGACATAGCTAAGCTGAGGACCTGCCTGGAAGCCACTGCTCACAGGCAGCCTCTCCGGTGCTCAGTGATCTGACCTGGCGTCTGCCTGTCTCTCCTGTGGACAGGAGGCTCATCCCTCACTGTTGCAGCCACAGGGACAGGAGCCACACTCGGTCAAGGAAGGACACCCCAGGTCCTTGGAAAAATGTGCTTAGGGGTCCCTGCAGCCCCTTGTCACTCAGGGGACAGAGAGGCCTTCCAGCCCCTCGATGCAGTCCATTGTCCAGTGAAAAAGAAAGCTTGCAGCCACACCCACGGCTTGCTCCAGGCTAGCCCCATTCTAGCCCCAGCTGAGAGGCCAATAGTGGGCTCAGATGAGGAACTCTTGTCTGTTCTTGTTTGCTTTTTGAGACAGGGTCTCTTTGCAGGTCGGGAATTTGCTGTGTAGACCAGGCCTTGAATGTCTTCAATGCCTTGAATACTTCTGTCTCCTGAGTACCCATCTCTGTTTTTGAGTAGTATCTCATGTAGCCCAGGCTGGATTTGAACTCACACTGTAGCTGAGGATGACCTTGAACTCCTCCTATCTCCACCTTCCTTTTCGGAAGACAGGCACCTACCATGCCTGGTTTCAGGAGAACTCTCAACTCTTGAACGCTTCCATGTGCCCACATAGCACAAAGCCTGCCTGGGCCCTTAGCCACTGTGCCCCGCCCCCTGCTGAATAACCACGACTGGGTTCTGCAGCCAGCCAGTGCCTGACAGACCACGAGGAACTCCAGCCTGCTGCCCCAGCTCAGATACTTAAAAAAGAAATGTCATCGTTAATAAGGAAAAAGTCATCTGAACACAGCAGACGGTATTTTCTTTGTTCCCAGTGCTTGCGTTCTGTGGCTCCAGGACTGAGAACGAAGCCAAACACTTTGCCTGTACATGTGCTTCTCAAAGTCAGAGCAGCTAGAAGACCCTGTTCTCCCCAGCTGGGACTCATCCCATGTCAGGGGGCTGGGGGCTCAGATAGGGGCCCCACACCTGCCTGTGACTCACAAATGAATGGAAACATGTCCATATTTACTAAATATATCCGAGCACCAGCGGCGGGGGGGGCAGGGAGAGACTAGGAGCGTCATGCCCCCCTCGCTTGGTCTATCAGAGAATTTGGAAAGAAGGTACACCACAGCCTGTGAGGGCAGCGAGCAACAGACGCCCTGCAGAGGACGTTCCTGGGAGGCCACACAGAGAATGTGACCACTGGCCACCTCCTGATGGCCGCTGGAGGGAGCAGGGACACCTGCTTGGACTTGAGACAGGAGGAAGGTCTGACATGGCGAGCTCCAGGGAGTCCCAGGCATCTGGGTTCTGAGCTGACCACTTGTCCCCAGAGCACTGGAGCCCTTGTAGAACTTTCTAGAAAAGGGTAGAAGGGAATTTGCAAGGGGGACCTTCATGGGGCTGGGGACCCACAGGCAGATAGGGGTCCTTGGCTGGCTGCCGTGGGCAGACAGGCTCCCAGGGCTGCGTGGCAGGGGCCTGCTGCAGGGGCCTGCAATCCCCTGGGAAGGAGACACTAATGTCCCCAGCACTTGGATCCCGAGACTCTGGGTCTCACTATGCAGCCCTGGATGGCCTAGACGCATTATACCGACCAGGTGAGCCCAGAACTCAGAGCTCTGCCTGACTGTTCCTCTCAAGTGCTGGGTTAAAGGTGTGTGCCACCATGACCAGCCCATGGTGCTGGGGTGGCCCCAGCGCCCCATGGAAGCCCAGCAAGGGCTGTCCTCACTGAGTTGCAGCCACCCCCCCCCCCGTGTTGGGGAAGCAGGGCTCAAGCTGTTTCCCTGCCTCAGTCGCTGAGGGAAATTTTTATTTCTTTCCGTTTTGGGGGACAAGGTCTCACTGTGTGACCTAGCCTGGTCTCAGCCCCGGGGTGCTGGAATGTCACAGGGAGACAACCCCTCCAGCTAGATCTAGAATCTGCTTCCAGACTCTGGCAATACCCACGGAGCACCGACTCTCTGCAGCCCACACGCTCTCCTCCTTAGCCTCACCTCAGCGCTACAGCGTCAGTGGCCTGACCCCAAGAAGCCACCCGAAGGCTCCAGGGCCACCCCTGGCAAGAGGCAGGAAGGCAAGGGGTCATTGCCCACTCATTTCCTGTCTCTCGCCGTCTCCGGGTCTCTGGCTCATCCAGGAAGTGCGCTTCTGTCCACACACCCTGGCAACAGCCACCCTGTCTCTCAGCCTTCAGCCCGTCACCCGGGACAGTGCCCCACGGCCTTCCGGACGGGCTCTCCTGTGCCCGCCCCTCCGCCCTTACCCCCTACCACCTTCTGCCTCTCCCCTGCCCTTGCGGGCCTTTCCCCTCTACCCACGAAGCTCCGCCTTACTTTCCGGCCCCTGCCTCTAATCCCTTTGCTCCAACCCCCTGATGCCATGGGCCCCTCCGGCTCCTCCAGGGCCGTCCCTCCCTACGCCTTCTGCTCCCTCCCGCGGGGCTTCCTCACTGCCGTCCACTCTGCGGGCCTTGACTTTCTGGCCCCTCCTTCCCCACCCCGCCCACCTCAGCCCTGCTTGTCCGTCCCCTCCTTCTCTGCCCAGCAGTCCGGCTCACCTAGTCCTCCACTCCCCCACTCCTTCCCGGCCCCACCGCCCTCCCCTGCCCATCTCACCCCGCTTCTTCCTTCCCGCTCCTGACCTCCTGGTGCCCGCCCCGTCTTCTGCCCCTTCACCCCACCCCCTCTGCTCCGGCCCCCCGCGGTTCTCGTTCCCCTCCCACCGGTCCGCCCTCCCCTTCCTCCCTCTCCCCGCCCTCGGGCGCCGGCCGGCAGGGGGCGCTGCGCGGAGGCGGGGCGGCGCGGGGACTGGCCGCGATGGGACCGGAGGCGGCGCAGACAAAGGCGCGGGTGGCGAGGGGCGCGCGGAGGGAGCGGGCCGAAGACGGCGGCGGCGGCGACGCGGGGTGAGCCGGGCTGACAGGGGGACCCCAGCTCCCGAGGCGCGGTCGGGGCGCGGGGGGCGTCGGGGGCTGGGGAGCGCAGGCGGTTCCCAAAGTTGCGGACTGTGCGGCGGGGCCGGGGTGCCGAGGGCTGCCCGCTGAAGGGCTGGGGTCCTGGGGCGCGGGGCGCGGCTGCTCTGGGTCCCCCAACCCCGGGGGCGGGCGTGGGAGGCGCCGAGTCGCGAGGCTCTGCTGCTCGGAAAGTTGCGGGTCGGCGGCTCCGGGAGCTGGGGCGCGCGGGCTGTCCCGGCGCGGGTGCGCACCCGTCCCGAGGGGCTTCCGGCGCGGGGCTTCTGGCGGGAGCCCCGCCTCGCGCTCGTGAACCCCGGCTCCGCGCCGCCGCTCCGGGGCGCGTGACTACTTGGTGAGTAACTTTTCCCGAGCTCAGCAAGTCCGGGCAGGAGAGGCCCGACCGGAAGGGCCTGGGTTGGGGGACCCCTTTTCCCCGTCTCCGCCAGTCCTAGTCGCGTCTCCGACTCGAGCCGAGCCGCCCCTCCCCCGCATGGGGGGCTCCGGTTTCAGACCCGTGACCACACCACAACAGCCGCTGCCCGGGACAGCATGGGGGAGCGCTAACCTCCGGAGCCTGGCCCTGCGTCCGCAGGACCCTCCTCCAGCCCCCTTGGGTGCAGATTCGGGGGCTCAGCAGGGTATCCAAAACTCCGGGTGATGGGTACAGGCGCCCACGGAGGCCGGGAAGCCCCTTCTCTCAGTCTTGTTCTCTGCTCACGGAGTGGGAACTGGGATGAGTCGCTTGCTACTGTCTCAACAATCCTGCCTCATCCTCCGCAGTGCTGGGATGACAGACATTTGCCACCATGACAGACTTTCATTTCGTCCTTTTAAATAGGCTAGGAATCCCTGGAGACTCGACTTGGACTCCGAGGTGTAGCCTTGCCTTGGGGGTGTGTGCTAAGCTGTCCTTTGGTGGGAGCAGAGGGCCCTGGAAGCACTCCACTCTTCTCAGAGATGGTGATCTGGTGGTGATGTCCAGGGGTGGCCTTGAACTCCGAGGATGTGTGCTCGGACTGCCTTGGCCTCCTGAGTAGATGAGACCACTGGTTATCACCTCTGATTGAGCTTTGTTCCACTTTTTGACGCAAGACCCTCTGGGGGCTGTTGGATGGGAGGGGTGAATAAACTGTCCCACTCATGCCCAGTCCCCGTGGGAGGAGACTTTCCCGGTGGCTGGTAACCTGGACGGTGAGTTACACAGTGATTTCAGCTTGGGCCGAGACAGGAGGTGGCTGTAGGAGATGTGAAGGGAGTCACCGGGAGGGCACACTCGGCCTGAACGCCCCTGGATCCTTGCTCAAGCCCCTTTTCTCCCCAGAGACCGAACAAGTGGCTCCTGTCACCTCTCTGAGTACCCCTTAGAGGCCACCCATCCCAGCCTGACCAATGTCCACCGCCAGGTGAGCACCCACCCGCTCTGCCCAGGCCCAGCCCTCTGGGTGGCCAGCTCCCTGCAGAGCTTCTGTCCCTCAGCAGGGAGCAGCCCATCTTCAGCACCCGGGCGCACGTGTTCCAGATTGACCCCGCTACCAAGCGCAACTGGGTCCCCGCTGGCAAGCACGCACTTACTGTGTCCTATTTCTACGATGCCACCCGAAATGTGTACCGAATCATCAGCATCGGGGGTGCCAAGGTCTGAGCAGAGGCCTGGGGGCAGGTTTGGCACCGGGGTGTGAAGCCACCGGGCCAGGCTGGGTGACTTGTGAGCCTTTAGGGAGGCTAGTCCATTCAGACTCTCAGCGTTGTTGTCAGGGTTGGGATGCTAGGCCTCAGTGGGCTGAGGATTCTGCTCTAGCCTCTCACTGGGCGAATCCTAGGCGGGGATCAGCCCATGAGCTATGCCTCTGGGGATTCTGGGTAGGGATCTTCTACTGAGACAGGTGCCTAGAATTATCTTTTTTAATACTTTGTGTAGTCCAAACTTTGATACTCCCCCCTCAGCCCGTTAGGCTGGCTGCTCATGGTGGTCGCTGTCCCTCCTGCTAATCTTGAATCTTGCTTTCCCCACGCTCAGGCCATCATCAACAGCACAGTCACCCCCAACATGACCTTCACCAAAACCTCACAGAAGTTCGGGCAGTGGGCAGATAGTCGAGCCAACACTGTCTATGGCCTAGGCTTTGCCTCTGAACAGCAGCTGACCCAGGTGGGCGGGGACATGGGCAGTGATTGGCATCTGTGTTTCTTGGGACAAGACCTCTTGGGTGCCCTGGGCAGTGTGGTCACGAAAGACTAAGTCTTTCGTCTTTTGTGGAGAGGGGGGCGTGATTTTTTTGATAGACCAGGCTGACCTCGAACTCACAGAGATCCACCTTCCTCGGTCTCATGGGATTAAAGGTGTGTGCCACCACTGTCTGGCTTTTGAATAATTTTCTTCCTTTATTTTTCTGTTTTGTCGGTAGTGGGGTCTCACTATATGTGTGTAGCCCTGGCTGATCTGGAACTTGCTATGTAGACAAAGCTGGTCTCCAACTTACATTATAGCTAAGGCTGCCTACACCTGTCCAGTGCTTAGACGGCAGAGGCTCTCAGGGTGGGAGAGGCCTCAGGCTAAGACTGGCTGCTCTTGCACAGGACTGACTGGGCTCTCGGCACCCACACAGGCTCTCAGCCTTCTGGAACTCCAAGAGGGGAGTTTCAGGCCTCTAGTTTCTGAGGGCATTTACACATATGTACATGCAATTAAAAGCAATAAAAATAAGTTAAAAAGCGAGTTTTCTTTTAAAAATTTTTTATTACATTTATTTATTATTTCTGTGTTGTGTGGGTGCAGGTGTGCTGTCGAAATCAAAGGGGTCTGTGGGGGGTCAGCTGCCCCCTGACATGCAGGCCCCACAGCTGGACTTAGGTCACCCAACTTGACACCAAGCTCACTGAGCCAGGTTACTAGCCTCACATATTATTTTTAAAAATTAATTTTCTTTTTTTTGAGACAAGGTTTCTCTGTGTGGCTTTGGAGCCTGTCCTGGAACTCACTCTGTAGACCAGGCTGGCCTAGAACTCAGAGATCCGCCTGTCTCTGCCTCCTGAGTGCTGGGATTAAAGGCCAACACCCAGCTCTGGCTTTTTATTTATTTATTTACTTTTATTTTTCTTTTTTGGCTTTTTATTTCTTAAGAGATTTATGTATGTGTATTTGTGTTGGTGCCTGTGTGTGTGAATGCCCCAAGAAGCCAGCAGAGGGCACTGGGTCCCCTGGAATCACGGCAGTTGTGAGTTAGTTGCCTCAGGTGGTGTTTGACCTGGTGTGGTTTCTCTGCGACAGAAGCCTGTGCTCCTAATCGCTGAGGTCCCTGACCTCACAGAGATCCGCCTGCCTCTCTGCCTCCCAAGTGCTGGGATTAAAGGTGTGTGCCACCACCACCAGGCCACAAATTATTTCTAATAGATGACAATTAATTTAATTTTATGTGTTTGTCTGCATTCATGTCTGTGAGGAGTCACAGACAGCTGTGAGCCACCATGTGGGTGCTGGAATTGAACCCAGGTCCTCTGGAAGAGCAGCCAGTGCTCTTACCTGCTGAGCCATGGCTCCAGCCACTATGAAACCTGTGTTAAAGTGAAAAGAAAATGCATTATCACATTGGGTGTTGGTGGCTCACGCCTTTAATCCCAGCACTCAGGAGGCAGAGGCAGGTGGATCTCTGAGAGTTCGAGGCCAGCCTGGTCTACAGAGTGAGTGCCAGGACAGGCTCCAAACAATACAGAGAAACCTTGTCTTGAAAAAAAAAAAAAAGAAAGAAGGAAAGGAAAAAGCATTATCACAACCACAGAACCAGCACTGTCAGGTGACCCCTATAGGAGAAGGTATGAGGAGACCACACTCTCGCTGGCTGGGCATGCCCCTTCCTGTGTCTTGAGATACTAGCAATTGTGAAGGATGGATGGGCATCAGCCTCAGAGTGTCCACTCCAAGCCAGTCTGACAGGAACAGGGAGTCCGGTTCTGTGTGGCTCAGAACCTTAATGTCACCTCTGGTACACACCACACCCCCCCCCCTGTGTCACCCTTGACACCCAAGATGGTCACAGGGTTAACCTTTCCCATTCTCCCCTTGAAGGCTGCAGGATGACAGGGCAGGCGGGGGACGGGGTGGTGTGACGGGTGGGGGTGCTTTCTGACTGCCCCATGTCTCACCCCCAGTTTGCTGAGAAGTTTCAGGAGGTGAAGGAAGCAGCCAGGCTGGCTCGGGAGAAATCTCAGGATGGTGGAGAATTCACTGGCCCGGCCCTGGCCCCCCACCAGGTAGGTGCCCTGTGCCCGTGTCTGCTGGCCCACGCCAGCTGCCACACCCCGAGGCAGCTGTATCGGTTGCTTCTGCCATCGGTCACAGCCTTGTGCTGGCATCTAAGGCTGGCTGGTGGCCTTATCGAGTATGCATGTGCACACATGTGAGGACAATTTGTGGGAGTCGGCTCTCTCCTTCCAGCATGGCGCCAGGCTTGGTGACCTACTGAGCCATCTCTCCAGCCCATGCCTCAAATTTTACCGGAGATGTTTGAAGTCTCAGTGCCCAGGGGAAACCTTCCAAGGGTTCACATCCCTGTTTCTGTAGGTTGTTCGGGTCTTGAGGGTTTAGTGAAGACCAGTCGGGGGAGGAGGATTTTCCTCCATCCAGGGGCCTGGGGAGCTGTGGAGGGTGAGGAGGGGACATCCACTAGGCTTCACAGGTCAGTTAAGACCCCCGACCTCGCCGGGCGGTGGTGGCGCACGCCTTTAATCCCAGCACTCGGGAGGCAGAGGCAGGCTGATCTCTGTGAGTTCGAGGCCAGGCTGGACCGACAGCCTCCAAAACAGAGAAACCCTGTCTCGTAAAACCAAAAAAAAAACAGATCCCCGACCTCAGTCAGTACCCCAGTGACCCCAGTCCTTAACCCAATCAACCTTAGCTCCTGCTGCGTCCTTGACCTGACCTGTGTCCCATACACAGGTTCCGCCGAGCCCGATGGTCAGCACCAACGGTCCGGGAGAGGAGAAGCTGTTCCGCAGCCAGAGTGCTGATGCTCCTGGACCCACCGAGCGGGAGCGCTTGAAGAAGATGCTGTCAGAAGGGTGAGGGGTGGGGCTTGCAGGGTAGGTGTGCCGGGCGGAACCTGCTTGATGGTCATGGCAGAAGCCTGAGCGGTGTATTGTGACTAGGACTGAACTTGAGGGTGACAGGAATAGTGTTTCTGGGTGCAGGGCCTTGACTGGTACACCTTATAAGGGGTTACGCCCAGGAATCCCAAGAACAGGCCTTTATGGTGTGATTAAGGGGGGTAGGCAGTGGGTGGGGCCTTGGATGGCCTGTGTGGGTGTGGCCTGCAGCAGATGTAGCTGGCGGCCAGGGTGTGGGGTAGGAGCTTGGGCTGCAGACTTGGGAAAGGAGGAGGCCATTGGTCCCTGCCTCATCTGGAGAGGAGGCTGCCCCTCCAGCATCACTGGCTCCATCCCATGGCTATGGCGTGGCAATCTGGGAGGGGCAGGGATAGGTTCCCAAAATTTTTGGAGGGTTTCGCCGTGTAGCCCACTCTGGCCTGGGACTCGTTATGTAGCCTAGAGTGACATCAAACTTAAGGGGACCCTCCTGTCTCGGCTCCACACGCCATGGTCCCCACTCCCTAGCTTAGTGTTGTTTTGACCCTGCTCCTAGCCCAGGAGGCCCTCCGCCAGACGCCACCCGCTTTGACCACGCACGCCCCCAGCCCGGTGTCTTCCCCGCAGCTCCGTGGGCGAGGTCCAGTGGGAGGCCGAGTTCTTCGCACTACAGGACAGCAACCAGAGGCTGGCAGGGGCCCTTCGCGAGGCCAATGTGGCTGCCGCACAGTGGAGGCAGCAGCTGGAGGCCCAGCGGGCAGAGGCCGAGCGCCTGCGGCAGCGGGTGAGGACCCCCACTGCCCATCAGTCTCCAGCGTGTCATTTCTCGCTGTAAGATGACTTGAGACCTTGAGAGGCTGACATGAGGCATCGGGCCGCATGTCACAGAGGGCGGTGGGACAGCTGAGTTGGCCGTGTGCGTGCAGGTGGCAGAGCTGGAGGCCCAGGCTGCTGCAGAGCCGGTGGGCGAGAAGGAGGCGACCGGCCAGTCCGCGGAGCAGCTGGAAGCCAGGGTGCAGACCAAGGACCAGGTGAGCCAGGGCAAGCTCCAGGGTTGTGCCTCACCCACGTCTCCTTGGGAATCCAGGGCCTTCTGAGCAACCTTCCTCTCTAGGAGATCCAGACTTTGAAGAACCAGAACTCGGGGACACGTGAAACACCTGATACCACTGAGCGTGAGGAGGCACAGCAGAAGGTTCAGGTTGGCTGTGGCCCCTGAGGTAGAATGGGCGTGTCTGCCTGAAGCCCTGGAGACAGCCTCAATCCTGGTCTCTCCACGCTTGGGCAGTCACCTAGGGGAGCTTTCAGACCTCAGCCAAGAAAGGACCCCAAGTGTCCCCTAGAGACTCCTGGGGAGAAATGACCCTGTTGTCCTTGGGGTGGGTGCAGCTTGTGCAACGGTTGAGGCCAGAACCCCAGAACTGGCAGCCGGCCCGGGGACAGCATTCCATTCCCAGCGAGAGGATCTGCAGGGAGGCTGTCTGTAGTGCGTGCACATACAGGTGCTCCGTGTGCCTGCGCGTGAGCAGGCCAGAGCCTAGTGGCTTCTGTTTTGCCTCATCCTTTGAGACAATCCTCTCCTGAGTGTGAGCTCAGGTGGCCCGGGCTGGGTGCTGAGGGTCTGCTCTCCCACCTGTGGTTACAGCCGCTGGTCGCACCTGGGATTTGGTTAGGCAGGATGGGTTGTCACCGTGTGGGTGCTTTTGATACTGTTTCTCTCAGACACCGCATGGGATCAAAGGTGCATCTGGTTTTAGGATTTAATTCTGTGTATGGGTTTGTACTGGTGCAGATTCCCTCAGAGGTCAGGAGTTGGATTCCCTAGGGAGTTATGTATGGTGGTTTCACATGGGAGGAGAACCGAGGTCGGCTGCGAAAGCTGATGCTGTGGAACCCTGACCAAACCCTGCATCGCGCTTTTAGAAACGGGGTCTTAAGCGCTGGGGAGGCTTAGACCAGCCAGTCTCCCGAGTGCTGGGATTGCAAGTGCCTGCCGACCACCGCGCTCGGCTTTCTGTCGCTGTCAGGGTCTGAACTCACGTGGGGCACCTCACTACTGCTGTCGCCTCCCAGCCTGCGGGAACCATGGGCAGGGTGGGCAACCGGAAGTTTCTCAGCTTGTGTCACCCCACGCCCCTTCCTCCCCTGCAGGACCTGGAGACACGGAATGCAGAGCTGGAGCAGCAGCTCCGAGCTATGGAGTGCAGCCTGGAGGAGGCGCGGGCCGAGCGGGAGCGTGCTCGTGTGGAGGTGGGCCGGGCCGCGCAGCTGCTGGATGTGCGGCTGTTCGAGCTGAGCGAGTTGCGTGAGGGCCTGGCCCGCCTGGCAGAGGCGGCACCGTAGTTGGCCCGCGCGGGCCTGCGGCCCCCAGGTCCCCTGGCAGGGGCCCATCTCTGCCTCTGAGCTTTGCGCTGTGTAGAGTTTTCTAGAATCCATGGGTGGCGCTGATACCCAGATTACATTTCTGCGAGGCTGTACAAGCACGTGGCTTTGCTGGCTGCGGCCGCCCTGCATCGCAGGGATGAGGGCGGGCCACAGCGGTCATCCCCATAGGGCAACAGAGAACCCGCAGCCATCCCGCCCCATTCTCCAGTCAGACTGACAGCTTCAGAGTGTTTACTGAGGTTCCCTGAGCCCGCCCAGGGCAGTAGCAGCCACAGGTTCACACTCAGGTCTGCGCCGGAGGCCTGGGAGGCTGAGGCCCTCGGCCCGCGCCTTTCTGTCCTTTCTGTCGCCGAAGCGTCTGCCCCACCTTCTCCTTGAAGCGCTTGTTCTGTTGCTTGATCTTGGCCAGCTCCGCCTTGCGCTTGGCCTCCAGGTCGGGATCCTGAGGAAGGAAACCTGGCTGAGATGGGAGCCATGGCTTCGCAGGGAACGGCTTGGTCCCCAAGCCCATCCTACCCTTACTGGCCACGCCCCCACGCCCGGCCCTCCCCTCCACTCCCCTCGGCCCACCTTCCCCTCCAGGATCAGCTGCTTCCGCTTGTTGATCTCCTTCTTTTCGTCAAAATGCGAAGCCTCCAGTTTCTAACCAGAGAGGGCACAGGTCAGGGCAGCTCCGCAGGGAGCCCGCTCTGCACCCCCTCTCCCCGTGTGCACCCCGGCGGCCACACTCACGATCTCGCACTCTCTGCGCACCACGTTGACCTGCGTGAGGATGCTCAGGACCTCGGCCTCTCCCACCACCAGTTCCTCCAGCTGCTTCTCTGCGGGGCAGGGCGCGAGAGCGGAGTTGGGCTGGGCCTGCCACCGGCCCTCTGCACCCTAGTTCTGGATGTCTGCACCCAGCCATATTTGGACCGATGACATTTAAAAGAAGCAAAATTGTGCCAAACTTGGTGGCACATGCCTGTCACAGCATTGGAGAGGCAGGGGAATCACTGAATTCCAGGCCAGCTCCTAAGAGCAAGGATCTGTCTCGAATAAATGAGTGAATAGAAGGAACGGGGAGTGGATGAGTTGAGGGGCACGCGTCTCCCAGCGCTGGGCGGCTGAGGCGAGGGGGTCATGAGCCCAGGGCTCCTAGGCCACTGCAGCCTAAACCGTGGGAGCTCAGCCACGGTTTAGCAGGTCCGGATGTGGGGAGGGCTCAAGTGCTGGCCCACCTCCCTCCCACGGACACCTGCAGGGCTGCCGGCCCTGTGTAGTGTTGGCTGGGCACAGTAACAGAGCACTCGGCACTGTTTAAAGTTCCAAGTGGCCCAGGCAGGGAATTGGTCTCCCAGCCACAGACCCTACCCACTTACTGATCTGCTCCTCGATGGCATGCAACAGGTGGATGTCATACTGTGTCACCAGTGTGATGGCCTGTCCCTGCCGCCCTGCGGGGACATACATGTTACCGGACCTGGGCTCACCAAGGGGGCTCACCCCAGATGGTCAGCTCCAGGATCCTCCTCGGAGGCTCAGAACAAGAGCTTGGTGGGGAGGGACAGCTCTGCTAAGCTGGCCTCCCATGAGGCTTCCCTTTAGCTAGGCTGCCAGGAAGTCAGGCCTTAGCCCTGCCCTGTTGTCCCTTTACAGTGGTGACCAAGCTGGCGCACAGAATTTCCTAAGGCCACAGGGCTGGGAGGCCCCATCCCGCCCAGCAATCCCCTCTCCGGATTATAGCATGAAGAGCTAGCAAGGCAGCTGTCTCCCTGGCCCCTGGGTGGCCCAGGAGGACTCGGGGAAGGTCTCCACGGAGCCTGCTTCTCACTCAGGGACAGACCTGAGCTCCCCAGTGTCTCTGGCTGCAGCTAGAACCTCCCAGCCTTTCCAGCTCTGCTCACCTGCACGGGCTGTTCGACCAACTCGGTGGATGTAGATCTTGGGGAGCCCAGGGGTGTTGTGGTTGATGACAACCTGCACAGTGGGGATGTCCAGGCCCCTGGAGGGATGAAGCACTCAGCTGGGGAGTCCATGTGGGGAGCCCTCCCCATGCCCAGCCCAGCTTCCTGTCCTCACTGTGGTCCAGGCCACCAGAGGACAGGCATGCTGCACCAGGCCTGCTCACCTCGAGGCCACATCAGTGGCGATAAGAATCCGGTACACGCTGGACTTGAACTTGGCCAGGGCTGCAAAGCGCTCTTTCTGTGCCATAGGTGAGGGGAAGTTTGTGAGCAGATGGGGGGCTAGGACAGGGCAGACCAGGGAGGAGGTAGTCCCAAAGCCAAATGGGACAACAGGGTGACATGGAGACAGGGTGGGGTACCACTTAGCTGTGATATCTAAGACAGGGTCGAGTTGGGCAGTGGTGGCGCACACCTTTAATCCCAGGACTCGAGAAGCAGAGGCAGGCGGATCTCTGAGAGTTTGAAACCAGCCTGGTTTACAAAGCTACACAGAGAAATCCTGTCTCGAAAATCAAAATAAAGACAGGGTCACACTGGGGGTGGTGGCTCACACCTTTAATCCCAGCTCTCGGGAGGCAGAGACAGGAGAATCTCTGAGAGTTTCAGACTAGCCCGGTCTAAATAGAGTAGATAGACAGTACTACATAGAGACCCTGTCCCCTGTCTCAAAAAAAAAAAGAGGACAGGGTCTCCATTAGCCCAAGATGGCTTTGAATTTCTGATCTTCCTGCCCTGCCATACCTCCAGAGTGCGGGGAGTCCAGGTACGTGTGTAACAGGCATAGAAACTGTGTGGTTTATGTAGTTTGGGATGGGACCCAGGGTCTCATACATGCTAGGCAAGCGCTCTACCAACTGAGCCCCACGCCAGCCTGAGTGGTGGCATGGAGACTGGAGAGGCTGTGCCACGGCCCGTCACCTGCTTCATCATGGAGTGGAGCGCCACTGTGGGGAAGTTGAACTTCCGAAGCATCATACAGAGGATCTGACAGGTCCTGGTGGGAAAAGGATGGCTGTGTGTCTTGTCCCAACTACTGAGACATCACACGGGTGGCCTAGGGGTCAGAGAAATGTTAGGTTTGCTGCCTGCCTGCTGTGCTTCTAAAGCTAGAACCAGCAAGGACCAGAATAGTGCTCTTAGGCCGGTTCCTGCTGAGCCTGACGGCCACGCAGCTCCATTCCACAGACAAGACTTCCTCTTCTGCACACACGCGGACCCTCCGTCTCTGCCCTCCTAACTGACCCAGGCTGACGCAGCCAACAGCTATTTTGAGATTTTCGTTTGGTTTGAGTCAAGGTTGTGTAGCTCGGCTGGCCCCTGGGAGTGAACTCCATAGCAGCAGCAGCAGGCCAGGCCCGGTCCGGCTCCAGCCTCTCTTGCGGGCTCCCACTCACTTGCAGGTGTTGGTGAAGATGATGATGGAGCAGTCCTCCAGCTGCTCTTGGAAGGTCTGGACCAAGTGCACCAGGTAGGCGTCCTTCACCTTCTCCGGCACCAGCAGGTAGCGCTGGTCAAGCTGCTCCACCGTACGCACCCTGGAGGTGGAAGGGCAGAGCAGCACAGCCTCAGTTTCCCCTTCTGTCTGAACTCTCTGGTCTTATCCTCACCACAGCTTTAGGACTCACTGAGCCTGCGCCTCCCAGAAGAAGGGCTGGTTGGTGGCCAGGCCCTGCAGCTCCTTGAGAGTGTCGGTCAGCGTGGCGCTGAACAGCAGGGTCTGCCTACGCACTGGAACGGCTGCCAGGATGGTCTCCAGGTCTGCAGTGAAGTCGGTGCAACCCTGCTCCAGCAAGCGGTCAGCCTCATCCATCACCTGTGTCAGACGGGTGCACCAGAGACAGGCTGCGTCAGAGGGGTGCACCAGAGACAGGCTGCGTCAGAGGGGTGCACCAGAGACAGGCTGGACCAGAGGGGTGCACCAGAGACAGGCTGGACCAGAGCAAGAGCAGCAGACACAAGCCCAGCACGCCTCTTCTCAGGACTGTGCAATGTGCTCCAGAACACTGTCCCCAGACCACGTCACCTACTCTGCAGGCCCTCTAGGGGCCCCCTTTCTACATGGCCTGTCTCTACCGGGCTTTTGGTTTGTATGAGAACTCACGCTGTAGAGCTGTAGACCAGGCTGCCTCAAACTCACAGAGATCCCCCTGCCTCTGCCTCTGAGTGCTGGGATACAAGGTGAGTGCCAACACGCCCAGGTGGCCCTTGTCTTTATTTCTAGCCTTTTGCAGTGGTTCTCAGCCCCAGGCCTGAGGGGGCACAACTGACTCACCAGGAACTGGATCTTTTTCATGTTCAAAGTGTTGGAGCTGCGCAGGTGGTCAGCCAGGCGCCCAGGGGTGGCAATCACGACGTGTGGCTTCCGAGAGAGCTCCAGTGCCTGCGCCACCATGTCTGGAGTGGAGGGAGAGGTGAGGCTGGGTAGGTGGGGTCAGCAGGGCCCCCATGGCCCACCCTAGCCTCTCACCCCTATACCCATGCCGCCAACGATAATGCAGTCCTTCAGGCCCAGGGGCTTTCCCAGCACCCTGAACTGCTCAGCAATCTGGTAGGCCAGCTCCCTGTGGATGAGAAGGACCAGCTGGGTCAGTGTGTTGTGGGATTTTAATCAGCTTAGCCAATGACTTTTAGGACAGGGGAGCAAGTCATGCTTTGGGGCCTGCCTGCCTATGATTGGGCAGTAGCTGCAGATCAGATCACAGCCTCCAATGCCTTTGGGCAGAAGCCAAGGGCAATCTACCTTTACATTGTAAGTGTTCCCCCAAATAAAATTTTCTTTTTGGTTTTTCGAGACAGGTTTTCTCTGTATTGTTTTGGAGGCTGTCCTGGAACTCGCTCTGTAGACCAGGCTGGCTTTGAACTCAGAGATCCGCCTGTCTCTGCCTCCTGAGTGCTGGGATTAAAGGTGTGCGCCACCACCGCCCGGCACCAAATAAATATTTGGTATTCTTTTCTTTCAGGCTCTGTGGACTCCTTTATTCCGCCACAGCAGTGAACCTGGGTGCCTGTCTCCTGTCCTTTCTCCTTCCCCCGGCTCCTGTGCTCTCCACCTCCAAAACGCTGATGGCCGCCTCCAAATCAATTCTAGGGGGATTGGCAACATGGCTCAGCAGGTAAGGTACAGCTAACATCCGAGTCCTGCAGGAGGTCCCCACCTCCACGCCTGCACGTGGCGTAGGTGACACAAGCGTAAGTCAACATGTAAGGGCAGACTCAAGCGTGAGGACCCGAGCTCAGGTCAGCAATACCCTTGTAAAAGCTCAGCACGCAGCCGTATCTCTCACCTCAGTGTGGACGAGCATGAGACGGGGGATGGTTGGGGCTTACTAGGAGGCCAGCCAGCCAATTAATGAGCCCTAGTTTCAGTGAGACCCGGTCTCAAAATAAGATGGGGGTGGGGACGAGGCTCAGGAGTTAAGGGCAATGGCTGCTCTTCCCTGACTTCAATTCCCTGCACTCAATGGTGGCTCCCAACTGTCTATGCTAGGGTGACACCCTCTTCTGGTGCAGAGAACCAGGAAATCTTTGGCTGGATATAGTGGCGCACGCCTTTAATCCCAGCACTTGGGAGGCAGAGCTGGGAGGGTCTCTTGTGAGTTCTGTGTTAGCCTGGTCTACACAGTGAGTCCTAGAACAGCCAGGGTTACAAAGTAAGACCCTGTGGGAGTGGGGATGGAAAGGAGTTCAAAAGAGTACACAATGATTCAGAGTAAGTTACTGCTCTTGAGAGGACTTGAGTTCAGTTCCCAGTACCCTCATTAGGCCGCTTACAACATGTAGTTCCAGAGGATGACACCCTCTCCTGGCCACTGTGAATACTATACTCACATGCACATACCCACGTAGAGACACAGCTATCATTAAAAATAAATCTTTTTTTCTTAAAAAGTGATTAAGAAAACAAAAAACAACAGAAGGCTGGGCGTTGGTGGCGCACGCCTTTAATCCCAGCACCCAGGAGGCAGAGGCAGGCTGATCTCTGTGAGTTCGAGGCCAACCTGGGCTACAGCGTAAGTTCCAGGACAGCCAAGGCTACACAGAGAAACCCTGTCTCAAAAACCAAAGCAACAAAAAACAAAAGGAAAAAAAGCAAATAAGGTGGAGGG